ATTTGGAGGCAATTACCCCCAAAATCAATTACAGCCTTCCCTTTGTGATATGGAACCTTGTGGTACAATGTCAGAGAGATCCATACACTTACACACAAGTTATTGTCTGGAAGTTACAAAAATGCTTATTTTTGGCCCCTTTTTCCTTAACTGTTGGTACCATAACCCCCAAAATCAATCCCAACCTTCCTTTCGTGGTATTGAACCTTATGGTAAAATTTCATGGAGATCCATTAACTTCAACTAAAGTTAGAGTGCGAAAACCAATGTGTCTTCAGACGACGACGACGACAACGCCAACGTCATACCAATATACGACCAAAAATTTTTTAATTTTTGCGGTCGTATAAAAATGAAAGTCGCTCAGCTTCAGTTGTTTACAATGACATCAATGAAAGTAACATAGCTACAGCTCTTATTCCATCGCATCAATGAAAGAAACACAGCTACAGCTTGTATACCATGTCATCAATGAAAGTCACTCTGCTTCAGTTGTTTACAATGACATCAATGAAAATAACACAGCTACAGCTCTTATTCCATTGCATCAATGTAAGTAACAGCTACAGCTTGTATACCATGTCATCAATGAAAGTCCCTCAGCTTCAGCTCTATATCAATGTCATCACAACTCAATTTCCTCAAGTAACCATAGCTACAGATTGTGTCAATGTTATCACACATTAGTGAAGTTTATTTGAATCAATGGTAAAATATAGTTAATTTTTAATTTTAAGACAGCATTTCGTTGGACACCAGAAGGTTAAGAGGAATTCCTAGAATGACATGGAGGGGAACTGTAGAGGCAGAGGCTTGTCAACATCAACAGACATGGGGCACTCTACAGAAAACTGCCAAAAGTGGAAGATCTTCTTTGCTGCCGTACATGCCAATGGCGTCCAGGGCAGTAAGTACGTAAATAATAAATATTACTTAAATATTAATGACAATCTTAAAATTATCCAATTTATACATCTTCATTTCCATATAAAAATATGGCTCAATTTACCTTTATAGTATAACGCATTTTAGACAATTCTTAGGTAATAAGTATAAGAATGGTGTTTTATGTCAAAATGACAAGGTTTGTAAATAAACGTTACTGAAAATAAATACTGTTTTGCTAGGTTTTACTTTTGTTGGCCTTTCTGTAACTGAGTAGATTTTCTGTTCTCTCAAGTATTGTACAAAATGTGTGTAATAAAATTTCATAATATGTTAATAAAAAAAGAAACAATATATGTGATTGACACATTGCAAACAACCTCTTAGATGGCATATTAAAGGCCTTAAATGTAATATGTCTGTATATCAGTTGAATCAAAGTCATTCAAATCTTAATATCATTTGATAAAGTTGAGATGATCCTAACAAGCCTTTATAGATTATTATAACAAGTTTGTTGATTCTGCCTTAAAAACCATAGGGATTTGGATAAATTGTATGTCACAATAACAAATAAAAGTCTAACTAAGAAATAAAGTTCCAAATCTCAGTCCAGGGACAATATTAGCATTAGACTCAAAACAAAACTTTATTCAGCAGTCAAACCGAAATGCATATAAATGACCAATAATTGTCCAGACATTAAGTATAATGGACATGAAATTGATTTTTTGACTTAATACAATCAAAAACCACTAAAGGAGTTAGTATGTCAATTCTCTGGGGACGTAATATGTCCAGCCTGATTATCTGTGAACTTTAATACTATCACCTTCCATATGGTTGCTGTATAATATGATTACAATCAAAGCATAGTCACTTTGAACAGATTGATACAATTATTGTTGTCAAATCTTGAAAAGTTAAGAATGAATGGGGAAATTAGAAATCATTATTAAGTATTTTTTGGTTGATTTTTTTATCATAAATAAAAGTAAAGGTGGGCATACATTGCTAAGACGGCAACTCAACAACACAAAAATAAAAAGATATCTAGAGGTCAAAATACCGTCTCCCCTAATACACAAGAGTCTATACAATATGTCAAACTCCTTAAATTGGAAATGGTAATGGAAAAGCCAAAATCTATGGTGCGCTAAAAAAAACTTGTCATGGAAATTTAGAATATATTTGGTTTCTGGGTGGTAATCTGCATAGCAGTGAAATCTATAAAATGTGTGATATGAAAGGGGCAGGATATGACCCCCTGGGAAAATAAATGGAGAATGTGTCCATGGGACACCGATGATGCCCCCGCTTGCTTAAAGGGCACAACTCGAGAACGGTAAAAATGACACCATTCAAATTTGAACTTGATCTGTATTTTGGGGTAATAAGTATTGTGTATACGTTCCATAACATTTGGTTGAGGCAAACTAAAGTTAGAGAACAGAAACCAATTTTGGGACCTTCATACGGACAAGGGTAACACTTAATGCCCCCTCAGGTGAAAGTGGGGGTATAAAAACCTATGACACACTGGAAAGATTGTAGCATGGCAATTCAAAACAGACATGATTAAGGGTTGGGATCTGCCCAATTTTTAATATATTGAACAATTTACAATATGAAGGGAGGAAAACCTATGATGATCTGTAAAAGTTTGGCCATGATACTTAAGATTAAATATGGTTTAGGGTGGTGATCCGAACAGCTTTAGACTTTTAACAATAAATCATATGCAGGGAGTGCTGAAAGTGGTGTTAAAAACCAACAATCAATCAATCATGGCAATTTAGAATACATATGGTTTAAGGGTTGGGATCTGACCCATTCTTGAGATGAATTTCAATAATTTCTTATTTGAGGTGGGGCATGATCCCCAGGGCTAAACTCTTTGGTACACTGGAAAGATCTTGCAATAGCAAACAAGAATATAGAGTTTTAGGGGATGAAGAAAAATATTACTTTCAAAACTCAATTGTTTGAGGTCAGAGGTCATCTTCAATACTATGCAACACATTGTCTTGCGGTGATGCACCCATGTGCCAGATATCCAAGTATAAGAAAATGTTATGTTCAAGACAAGAAAATGTCTCCAAAAATCAACCATTTGACCTGGAAGTCAAAGTTCAAGGTCACATAATGGTCATGATGATACATGACATTGACTTATGGTTTTAAACGTAAGGTCTTTCATGCCAAATATCATGGCACTGTCAAAAGATAAACATGAGGTGCAGGTGTGCCTGTATCATTTACCTGGTGAAAAAAAGCCAGTTTGCTAATGAGGTCTTTTATATGCACATACTAGTTATTTGTTGTGTTGCTGATCTTTTTTGCAATTTACATGTTTACACTAGCTCCTATAGTTTTTGAGATCAGTCAAAACTGCAAAAACAGTAAATATGAACATTTCAGGGGATTATCTCCAAAATTCAAAAAGGTTGTCAAATTCTCAGAGTAGATAGATCTTGTCATGTTCATAATTTTAACATTCACACTTTCAACCTAGCTCCTATAGTTTTCAGGATAACAGCCAAAAGAAGTAAAATTGAATATTTCAGAGGCAATAACTCCAAAACAGGATGACAAATTTTTCAGAATTTTAATACTTTGTCATGCTGATCCTTTTTGCAATCTTCAGCTTTAAAAACTGAGCTATATTTTTCAGGAACACAGCTGAAAACTACAAGGGGCACTTACTCCAAAACAGATTTTTTGTCAATTTTCAGGGTAGACACATCTTGTCTTGCTGATCTTTTTTGCAATTTCCACTTTTAACCTGGCACAAAGTCTTTACGATAGCAGCCAAAAACTAAAAAAATTCGTAAGGGTTCTGCAGAACCCAGTGTCTCGCCTACTTTTTCTGTTAATCGCAGGCTCTACAAAAATGAGGAAGTAAATCAATAACAATATTCCACTTGATACTATCTTTTGATTGTAAGAAGCTTCTGTCCAAGTTTGGTAAAAATCCAGGATAGTTTATGAATCTAATAAATGTTTAAAAACTTTAACTGCAGACTGAATGTCATTTTATCTGGAAGAAAACAAAATTTCCTTCTAGATACTAGCATCTGATCATAAACAAGCTTTTGTCCAAGTTTGATACAAATCCAAAATAGTATAAGAAAGTTATTAAAATTTTAAAAACTTTAACCACAGAGTGAATGTAATATTTCCTGGCAGAAAAACTAAGTCCATTAATAGGAAAAAATGGAATTTTATTTTTACAATATTTACTTCTGGATACTATCTTATGATCATAAACAAGCTTCTGTCCAAGTTTGGTAGAAATCCAGGATAGTTTAAGAAAGTTATTAAAATTTTAAAAACTTTAACCACAGAGTGAATGTAATATTTCCCGGCAGAAAAACTAAGTCCATTTATAAGTAAAATACGGAAAAAATGGAATTTTATATTTACAATATTTACTTCTGGATACTATCTTATGATCATAAACAAGCTTCTGTCCAAGTTTGGTAGAAATCCAGGATAGTTTAAGAAAGTTATTAAAATTTCAAAAACTTTAACCACAGAGTGAATATTTGTGGACGCCGCCGACAACAACGACGACGCCGACGGAATGTAGGATCGCTATGTCTCGCTTTTTCGACTAAAGTCGAAGGCTCGACAAAAATGGGGGGGGAAAAAAAATCAATATTTCAGGGACAATAACTCCAAAAGTGGTTAGATTTTTCTTTAATTTCCACGGTGAATGCATCTTGTCGCTCTTATCATTTTTGCATTTTTGCATTTTACACTTTCAACTTGGCTCCTACAGTTTAAAAGATAAATCAAACACTGAAAATTGGTAAAAACTTACATTTCAGGGGCAACAACTCCTAGGGTCTTCAGATTTAAAAAAAAATTTCCAGGTAGATATTACTTTCAGTGCTGATAATTTTTGCATTTTGACTTTTAACCTAGCTCCTATAGTTTTTCGAAAGAATTGCCAAGATAGGCTAAACAGTTAAAAATCATCTTACTTGATAGAGCACCAGAATGTCATAACACATGATTGGGTAATCTGTCGAAAAATTATATACTCCAGGAGTCAAAAGTCAGTAATATGGAAATTTTCTCAGTTAAAATGATGAACAAACTATACAATCTAAAATTTACATTTAATGACAATGTATTTATATGTTCTAATTCATTTTACACATTTCAATTACATAATAACAACATATCTTTAATAAAAAGTTAACAAGGTATTAAAATATGTCAGTGTACATTACCATAAAAATATCCATCTTTTTTTCTCTATTATTGAAAGACTTCAACTTCAGCAAGTGATTATTTTCATCATAGGGTAAGAGTTTTCTTACTTTGACAAATACATTTTGAACTTTGACTTGTAATACAGTTCTTATTAACTGGTACCGTAAAATGTATTTGGATGATTTAAGACTGTAGAAGAGTAATATTTACATAAATTTTAAAGTGTAACAGCTTACAGACTATAAAAGCTATTCAAGTATGCAAATATTCTCAAAATTTTTTAAAAATTAAAATCACTGTCTGTACAAGTGCATATGTTATCCTAGGCATATCTCTTACAGATTACATAATACCCTAGTTTGAAACTATCTTTTGTTTGTTGACATTTTTTTTCTAATATTCATAATTAAAAAAAGCTTTTTGTATTATATTACCCTAGCAATCTTTATTCTATTTTCTTGTTGTAGCTATAATGTTTGCTAAGACTTTTTTTATATCCTGGACAAGGTATAAAAACATTTTTACATCAATCAACCAATTTCATGACTGAGACTGTATCTGAAATTATTTTTTTCAACATTGTTTTCTAATATGTTATTTTATTTAAGTGATACCAATATCTTTCTACTATAACTCTGTAAACATGAGGCATTTAGCATAGTTTGTTAATAGACTTGTATGTTTTTTTTCAACTTTACAAATATTACACCAATAAAACTTATTTTTTATAATTAAAAAACTGGAAAGCAAATGTTTTGATCGTTAAATCAGTTTAGCTGATGTATCTTCCAATTCCAGGGTTCCTTCTGAGAAAAATCAATAAATCTTGAGCTTTATATTTGATTCCATAAACCTGGTAATTTCCGTCTTATATTGCAAAACTCCCATCTCCATGTCTGTAATGTCTTATCATCTCGTGAACTTTTTATTACCCACTTGTTTGTAAATTTTACTCTTATTTTGTTGTTTGTTCCTGTTAAATCCTCCTCCTCCACCTCCCCGTCTGCTCATCTTCTCACTCCTGCTACCATGTACATCTTCATACAGTTAAGGCAAATATGTATGCTTAATTCAGTGTTCAAAACTTAAGTCAGTATGTAGGCCTTAAGCCCACATTTTTACTGAAGTGTCCAATAAATCGGTGAAACCTACAATGGCCATAATTTTGCAAAATAACTCGTTGGATCTGCTTACCGGTAATTTTTGGTCAATTTTGGACACTGGCTTAATTTCTCAACTTCCAGCTACAATAGCAATGTGCAAGGTACAATCTATAAACTAAAGGGTCATATAAATTTACAAATCTGAACAATCTCATATGAGACCATAGTCTGAGTATATATGTATTTTCAAACAAAACATTTATAAAAGTTTCAGCAATAAATCCACCCCCTTAGTTTATATTTTCAAAATGTTTATTATGCTGGACACTTGTTGTTGACCATAATGGAAGATGTTAAACTTCAATATGTGTTCAAACTTATTGTAAATTTTTGGGGGTTTGGTTAAAAATAATTGGAGTTGATAACACACATTTAGAACCCACTTTTTGAAAATTTTGCAAAAATAGGATAAAATTCTGAAGTTAGGGAAAATATAGAAAAGTTCATATTTATTTATTCATTTTATAATGGGAAATGATGGGAGGAGAAATGCAACTTCAATATATACAAACAATTTTGTGAAATTTCACATTGGGTACAAAACTGTAGCATGACTAGATCACATAATATAGGTACCCATTCCCCCCACAACAGTATTGTCCATTCTTTATTCCCCAACTGCTACAATTAACTGTCTGATCAACACATAATGCAACACAGTAAAAACTTGCACTGAGAAAATCTGCCCCTTTTTTAAATTAAACAGCTTGAAGCAGACATAATAAAATGTTGTACCCTACAAATCATGACCATGAATACAACTACTGAACATTTGATATGATGTCATGAAACCAGTGGTTTCAGTCAAAAAGGATACTTAGATCAACAAATGGAGGAACTTGGAAACCAAATGACAGAGCCACTTTATTGAGGTCTAAGCTGTTCACTTCATAGATGTTCTTCAGACTGTGTGAGGCATAAGCCCTAATGTATGACTTATAAGCCTCTTGTGCTGACTTATGCAAGAAGTAGTTCTTTTCTATCAATTTCTCTAACTACAATAAAAATAGGTTTTAATTAAAATTTAAGACAAGAGTGAAAACATTTTCTTTCTAGGTGAAAAAAAATGCCACACATTATGAATTATATATAAGATTACAATAATAGCTCCACACATTCCTTGGTAAAAAGCTGGAAACCATTCCCCTTTTGAGGGACATCTGAGAGTGAATCAAATCCAATACACATGAATGTGTTGTTAGGTAGCTGTAATGACATATACCCAAAACCTTTATCCATTACCAAATTATCTGTGATAAAGTGCTTTCTCTAAATCAAACCTTGCAAGGAACGCCTATAAAAGTGTAGAATGTCTAAGATGTATAAATATATGAGCAACAGTATAACCAAAAAAATTCTGAAAAGAATAGCCAGTACCAATTAATGTTCATTTTTTCTTTAATAAATCAAAAATCCATTTGTGTATCTGCAATGATGAATCAGATAAAATTTATATACATTTTACAACTTGCAATGATATCAAATATAAGCCTTTTTAACTCTTATAGATATAGTAGCTGATTGTACAGTTTTTACCTGGGGTTGAATATTAGATATTTTACTCCATGAAAATTCAAATTCATTTAGTGGTACTTTGGCCTGCTTGAGGTATCTTAGAAATCCCAACTCTTCTGGTCGAAGACATAACAAGGCATGTCCAATACCACCTTCTCCTCGAGCTGTCCTGCCTACTCTGTGGATATACTCCTGCAAAGAAAGTAACGTCAGTCTGACAGATAAAGTAATGCAAAAACCTTAATCATCAGGCTTAAAATAAAGAGGATCTGACAAGGAAAGAAAGATCAAGATAACAACATGAGGCTCATGAGAATTTTATTATAGATTTTGAAGTAGACAAAAATCTTGTAGGGGCAGAAACTCATATAAGGAGTAGTTAAATGGTTTGGGTCATATGAGCATTTTAGAAGATCTTCTTTTGCTGATCAGTTTTTGTTTACAATATCTAATTACTATCAATTCAAATTTTTCAGATAAGAGGCAAAACTCGAAAATGAGTAAAAAAAGAGGCAAAACTCGAAAATGAGTAAAAAAAAGTCATTTAACAGCCATTACTCCTATATGGTTTCAGTCATATAACAGCCATTACTAGTATATATGGTTTCAGTCATTTAACAGCCATTACTCCTATATGGCTTCAGTCATTTAACAGCCATTACTCTTATATGGTTTCAGCCATTTAACAGCCATTACTCCTATATGGCTTCAGTCATTTAACAGCCATTACTCCTATATGGTTTCAGTCATCTAACAGCCATTACTCCTATATGGTTTCAGTCATTTAACAGCCATTACTCCTATATGGTTTCAGTCATTTAAAAGCCATTACTCCTATATGGTTTCAGTCATATAAACATTTTTATAGATCCTGTATTGCTAATAATTTTTGCTATCAAGATTTTTATATATTTATTATAGGTTTTGATATATAAGGCAATAATCTGTTAACACAGAGATATGTCTCGCCTATTTGTTATTTTGATAATGCAAACGTTGAAATAAAATAAAAATGTAAGTTATGCAAATATTCAAAGTCAATGAACCAGGACTGAAGGTACAGACCTAAACAATCTCCATGGAAATCAGATGTGCCAATGCTAATACAACTGCATATCAAATACCAATGATTTATTATAAGTTGTTCCCTTTAAACAAACCTAAACACAAACATTAACTTGTAAACTATGTAAAAGTTTCAAAGTCAATGAACCATAATGAGGGGGTAGGGTTATACAATCTCCATGGAAATGAAACTTGCAAATGGCAATAAATTTGCATACCAAATGTCAAAGACTTAACATTAGTGGTTCATTTTAAACTGATCTAATTACAAACTAATAAATGTAAACTAAGCAAAAGTTTCAAAGTCAATAGACTGTGACTGAGGGGTAAGGACCAATATTCTCCATGGAAATGAGATGAGCTAATGCTTATACAACTGCATACCAACTATCATTGACCTACCACTAATGGTTCCCCTTAAACTGACCTAATCACAAACTAATACATGAAAACTAAGCAAAAGTTTCAAAGTCAATAGACCATGACTGAGGGAGCGGGGCCAAATAACCTCCATGGAAATGAGATATGCTAATGCTTATACAACAACATACCAAATATCATTGACCTACCACTAGTGTTTCCCCAAAAACTGACCTAATCACAAACTAATACATGTAAACTAAGCAGTTTCAAAGTCAATAGACCATGACTGAGGGGTTGGGGCCAAATAATCTCTATGGTAATGAGATGTGCCAATGCTAATACAACTGCATACCAAATATCATTGACCTACCACTAGTGGTTCACCATAAACTAGACCTAATCACAAACTAATACATTGTTGATGACGATGCCGGAAACAGCATACCTATGTCTTGCTTTTTGACTCCGTCAAGGCGAGACGAAAAATAGAAAATAAGTCCAAAAAGGTAATTTTTCAGTACAAAAACCTCATACAAGGAGTCAGCTGATAATTTTAGTGGAAATAGGAAGTAGGTTAAATCAATACATGCTGATCATCTTTTTAACCTGTCAGATTTCTCTATCTTTTATGGTTTTCAAGATATTAGACAATTAATGCATTTTCCTTTAAGTTCTATTTTCAGCCATTTTGACCATAATGGTTGAATGGCAGATGCAAAAAACAGAAACTTTATACTTGATCTTCTATGAATCATTCAGTTCAATTTTGGTTGAAATTGTTCCAGTGGTTTCAAAGGTAACTTATGTTTTTTTTAAAGCTAATGACAACGACAATGACTACGGACGGCAAGAGATGGCAATAGCACTCATGGCCTATAGGGTTAACTTAAAACAAACACATGTATTATGCATAAAAAATAACTCCTTATAACACAAATATACAAAGTAAATCAGCTTAATATTTAACATTTTGGCTATAAAAGGTTACCATCATGCCTGTTTTACAACTATATTCTATTTATAGTTAAGAATGTCATGTTGGTTAGTCACTCATGCATCAATGATCATTTTGAAAGTCTGTGTTAAATTAATTCACTGCTTATCTAGACTTTGGCCAATTTAGAGCTGAATACATTGTGAAGACACATCTATTGTTGAGGACTGTATGTTATCCTACAGATAACTTTTGGATTTTTCTGTTGTTTGGTTGCTGTGTTATTGGTACGTACCCAACATCTCATTCCATTCATATAGTAGGATATTTGTGGTCAAGTTTGGTTCCATTTATTAACGATGAATAGTCAAAGATCTTTGAAAACATTTTTTGTAAGTCTGAAGACAGATCACTGATCCAAAGTGATGGATGAAATTTACAATGTTCCAATAGGCCAGGTTAACATAACGCAAATTCATTTCTATTCAATCTAGTAGGAATAGGAAATGTAGCTTTGTCATTACCATCAATAATGGGATATACAAGAATACAGTTAACATTAGTTATATGAGCTTACCTCACATGAAAGCAATATAAATACTTTCTTTCACACAGAATATATCTATTACTACATTATATTTGTAAGTAACACATATGATGAATGACTTTTGTTTTTGATTATGATTATGTTCCTGTATCTTAGGATAAAAAAAAGTTAATTGGACAAAATAATTAATTGGAACCTTAAAGATCTGCCATGATACCAAAATATTTATTACTTTGTTGTTTCCACATTGTTTCATGTTTTTAGTAGAAACAAATCGTCTGAACTTCTTGAACTGAAATCTGAATCCTATCTTCTCATTACGTATAGGGATTATCTGCATCAAGTGCATTGAAAAGATACCAACCCAAATTCATTTATTTTTTCATTTGTAATGAATGTGATGGCAACAGATTTCTTAAAATACTTTAATGCTTCCACTAAATTGATAGATAGGAATTCATTATTCCTCTTCAAATTGGTTTCCTTTTATATCACAAAAACGCCAACTTTATCAAACCAAAGACTTTATCAAGAAAATAGACATACTTTTCAAAAACAAGCATCACTGAAGAAAGCAGTCTTACATTGATCTATAGAACCATGAAGATATTTTTCACTGCAATAAAAGCTAAACACCAGACAGTACAAGTCTAATTCTTCATAGCAGTGATTAAGGATATTAGAATCTTCTTTATTGTACATACACTTCAGATTACCGACTAAATTACAGAGATTTTCCTGGATTTTAATATGGTTCTCTTACTCTCAGACAAAAATCAAGAAAATAATCTCCAAGTGTTTGTTTGTATGAACAACACCTCTCTTGAAAATTTCTACCCCTTATTGAGTCTTGCATGTTCATAAATTTATACTATATGTTGTCCTCAAATCGTGATGAATATTTGAAAGACAATATAGTTTTGACTTTACACATATCTATCAATCATTTTATGCAAAATAACATGATTATATCAGATGCGATCAAGGATTTTGAAAAAGGGGCCCCATGAGCCCCAAAACTAGGCAAAGTTTTGAGTGGAACAGTTTAAAGTCTGTATTAACCATATAAGAGGGCAATGAGTGTTGTAAAATTTCAAACTATTGGCAAACAGGAAGTGGCTATGCAGCAGATGTAAAAACTGCTTACTTGCTACAACTCAACATTATCAAGCTGCATACCAAATATCAAATCAGTCCCTTTCATAGAAACCGAGAAAACTTGGATGAAAATTTTCCTTGTACAATGAGTGTTTTAAAATTTCAAACTATCAGCAAACAGAAGTGGCTACACAGACAGATGGACATGGTCAAGTGGTTACTAGGCCTGCTTTAGCAATCGGTGAAACAGGTAAAAAACCAAATTGAAAACAAGTATTAAGTTTATGGCTAGATGCTTCTGACAACAGTATCTGTAATAAAAGAATAATTTTTAGACACCACATTCTCTCATTGTCCTTGGCCTTTCTCCTTTCTTTCTTAGAAATATCAGGGAAACAGACCAAACAATCATACTAATGTGTTTGTTTGTTTCATAAATGAAGAGTAATCCACATTATGTAAAGACTGAAATGAAAGCTTGACATATTGTATAGATATTTGTTGAAATATCTTTTAACTTTCTGGGTTGATAGGTTCCTGTCTTCTGGAACAACAGGCAATATATCTTTTTCACCATTTTAACACCGTCTTCTTCATTTGTACATTTCACAGTGTCCAATGCCATTAAAAACCAATAATTTTTTACATTCTGGGATTGCTGTCAGATGTCAGCTTTTCAATTCATCTGTTGGAACAAATGTTCTATACCCTTTATGCTGTTACGAAAAAATTCTGTAATATTTGATGACAGATCAAAAGCACCTTTTAATTTTTGCAAATAACCAAAATGTGTACTGAATCTCTTTTGAAATAGCAAGATACATGTAGAAGTCAACATACCACCTAGACCACTCAGACTGACTCAGTCACTGACTGTGACTCAGACTGACTCAGCCACTGACTGTAACTCAGACAGACTCAGCCACTGACTGTGACTCAGACTGACTCAGTCACTGACTGTGACTCAGACTGACTCAGCCACTGACTGTGACTCAGTCACTGACTGTGACTCAGACTGACTCAGTCACTGACTGTGACTCAGACTAACTCAGCCACTGACTGTGACTGTGCCCCTATATCATACTGAGGAGTGAAATAATAAAAAATGAAATGAATCTCTGAAAAATAAACCAACTCAAAAACAAATTAAACCCTTCATTACATTTCTTCATTTGATGGATTTTT